ATCGATAAAGATATTAAACAAGGCTGGCCCCAAAACATAGCAGCAGAGGTGTGTTACATTTTAGTTTCTTGGCTGCAATATTATATCATTTATCAATTCAGAAAGCATCTCATGTCTTCTGTATCTTGGTGATCTGCATCAGATTTAATCCCCAAGCTGTTTGAGAGTAAGTGTGCAGACAGGCCCTTCAGAGCAACTTCTCAGTGAATAACCAGGTCTCCAAAAATGATGGGAAGCCGTGTTTGAGCCACAGCCAGTCTCTCATTGAACATGAAAATACTTCTAGAAAGTAAAAGGTCATTTTCAGCCCTTTATCTAACTGCTGAAAGAGACATTAAAATACACAATGTGATGGATCTACTAGGCATATGCAGAGAGGCGTGAAACACTAGGAAGTCATATCCACAGAGCTGCTAAAGGGGAATACTGATACAGTTATTACTTGAAGCAGGTATTTGCCATCTGTCGTGATGATACCTGGAGACCTGATAGACCTTAATTTGACACTCACAGCATGCAATCAGAGAAGGCACTGTGCTCAGCTGTGCTCTGTGATTTTAAGAATCGCCTAGACTCAGATCAGCTGTGGTCTGGCTGCACAGGTACCTCATGTGGCTCCTTCTGAGAGCAGCCTGGTGGGTTCCCTGGCGCTGCACAGACTTTCAGGCTGTGCTTTTCAAGCTCAGCTGAACTCTTTCCATCTGTCACCTGTTGTTGACTGCCTGCCCATCCTTCCCAGGCATCCTGCTCAGGAGTACATGGGTTGGTAAGGTTTTCTGCATGGGGAGGGGTCAGTTGTATGTGTTGCTATGTATAACTACAGAGAAGGTGCTATCCAAGAAAGGAAGTATGTTTTTATTTTAGAGCCAAAGATGAGGTGGTTTCTGATGTTGCGCAATTCCCAGGGAAGTTCATTCTGTGCTCACAGATAAAGCCTCTCTCCTGCACAGATCATTGTTCCCAAGGAAAAGACTATCCAATCCAGTAGGAAGGCCCAGTACCACTCCTAGTTCCTAACATTAACAATCGTGCAATTACACATCTAATTCTTTGCTAGACATGCTGATCTAGTGAAACCTTGCTGTCTGCAATAATAGAAAATTTAGTCCCTCATGTTCTGAATGAGGCTAGAACATGAAGTGAAGCTGTCGGAGAGCCTGAGTATTATATTTAATTTAGGGCTTTGCATACATCTGCAGGCAACCTGCATTTATCCAGCTGCCAGTGTAGCCTAAAATACACACTTCATCTCACAGTAACAGAGTTCGGGCCTTAAAACCATTTAATCTTATGGCTTATTATTCATTAAATTCTGGCAATACGCTAAACAAAATCTGAAGTCCATATCTCCACAAGTTTACAGGCTAATGACAAATCCATCAAAACATTTAAAGATTAAATTCGTTGATCTAAATATCACCCTGAAGGAGCTGTAAACTTGCAGTCCATAAACCTAATCATGCAATCTCCATTTCTAACTATTAGCGCTGTGTGCTATACACAAAAGTGTGATGGAAGATGATATCTTTATTTTGTTCAGTGAAAATAAAACCTATGTTCTCTACCAGTGAAAAAAAACCCAAACAAAAAGCCCACTGCAACCTGCTGATAAGACTCAATGCAGTATTTTGCGTCATATTGTTCTTTTTCTTTTGTTCCTCTGTTGCTGAAATTGGAAAATCTGTAGGAGACACAGCTCAGGGCTGATCTAAAACAGTGCAAAGCCTCCCTTTCTTTTCAGTGAGCTTTGTTTAAGACTGAACATCAAGAAAGAAATATTCCTAAGTAGAATAATTTTAACTCAGCATGAGTTTGTTTCTTGAAAGAGGGGGATGATTGTTTTTAGCAAAATAACATCAGATAAATCCCTGTTTTGTAATGTGGTGACTAGAATGACTGAAATCAGAGTATCTTATGATTGTAATTTTTTTCCCCTGCATTTAGCTATGGATGAAGGAATATGCTCTGTCTGCTGTGATGCAAAAGCACCTGTCTGAGAAACAAGATAAGATAATTCAAGGTGTCATAAGCAGACTAGGATGCCTCAGTGATGAGTAAGTTTGGTTTTATCAGTAAGTAGTGGGGTAAAACTGCACTGCTGCATGCACAGATAAAAACTTGTGTACATTATAGTCCCTCAACACTGCTTTCCACAACATCAGTGTCTTCAGACAGAGAAGTAGTTACTCTAGTTTTTTGTCTGAGTATCAAAAACAAGTTAAAAAAAAACAGAGATATGACTCCTGGTAAGTAGAAAAACTAGTCTTCTGTGATTTGTCAAGTGGTATGCTTTCTGCGTATCTACTCCTATGTTGATTTCTATGAGTGATTTCTAATCTTGAACCAGCCTCTCTTTGCACTTTGTATGTCACATTGAAGTTGGATATTCTTCAAGGTAAAATGTTCAGGCCAGCACCATTCAGCCCTACCTTTGCTTTCTGCTATTACAATGCCACTGACCATCGCTTTGCATGATAATGACTCCTCTCTTGCATTCTCTGTCTGTATTCACCAAGGAAACTTTTAGTTTTATCACATCGTTGTATAGCTAAACATCTCTTTGATAGAGATACTTCTCAAAAAAACACAGTTCTGTGTTATTTGCCTCATTTTGGTTAAGATACCAAATTATTTCATTCACCATGGTTTTCACATTACCGAAGATCAAAGCATTTGAAGACTTGTCTATTTCGAATATTGGTATTATTGCCATTGCACTCCTTTACTTTGGCTCTACTTTTCAGTTCAACCTTATATTTTCACATTCTCTGACTTCAATGTTTCCCAAGAGTCAGTATCTAGAGTGTCTTACACATATGCACAAGTTAGATACAGGCACAATGTCATCCCAAATGTACACACAGATTTCACTCACCTGGTCCAGAATCAACTTCAAAATTTGCTCTCCTGTTTAAAATTCACCACAAACTTGCTTTGGCCATGTCTGCCCTGCCAGCTAGCAGTAGCCTCTTCATTGTCTCTTCAGAGTGTGCGTCCTTGTTAATCCAAGATATGCTCTCCTGTATTTTCTTGAAATAACTTTCCTGTAGTTCTGATTACATTCTCTTTTCATCTTATTTCAAGACTCCTATTAAAAAAACACTTTTATTATGTAATTACAGATGATTATATATCTATTTTCTTCCTATTTTTATTGTAATTTAACTTCAGTGTGACAGAACTAGAAGTCTGTCACAGCAATTCCCATTCTTTATACCTGAGCAGCTTTCCAAGGCATGCTTTGTACCAGAATATGTTACACAGAGTGAATAGTAACTCTTGTCATCTTTGAGCAATGACTTTGCAAAACACAGGTGTGCCAAATCAGCAAGCAGCTCAGCTGATTGATTTTTTTAATGGTCCTTTTTTACAGGTCTGTTAACTATATATTGCAAAAACACCGGCTTCTGCTGTATTCAGTACTCACAAGGTTAACCCTCCGACGAGTTGGAATGGCAGCCCTGGCCCGCATGAGAATGTCCAGAAAGAAGAGCTTGCTTCAGGAACTGAGAGAGCAACATACCCTGCAGAAGGGATCCTCCCCCTGCCAAGATGAGGACCAGTGGCAGTTACAGAAGGCAGTGGTAGGTGCAGTGTCCAGGCAATTTTTCTCCAGAGATCTTATATACTGTGATGTCTGGTATTAAAAGTAACCGTAGAAGATCTCAAAAAATAAAAATGTTCAAGTTCCAAAAAGAAAGGAAAATATTCTCTGTCAAAAATGCAGGTTCCAGGGTATGCCTGTTTTAGTTTGGGCAGGCATGTAAAATTCCCTAACACTTTATCTAGACAGGCTAGCTGTCTGTGATATGTGTTATCATAGCAAGCTTATTTAGCTATTTATTTTATATGAAAATAGTAATGAAAGAAGGTGTGCCAACATGTATAATGTGTATAAAGGACTTCTACACAAGTTACTGCTTCAGTGTGAGATAAACTCCTATTAATTCTGCTAGGGATCATAATATGCACTTGAAAAGTTCTTACCTGAGCATCAGAAGAAATTCTTCCCTCCACCAGACCTAGCAAGTTCTTCTATACTGTCATCATTTTTCATTCCTTTTTTATTTCTCCTCTGTCCTTGAGACGCTCAGCATCCATTCCCCTGACATCCTTCCAAATAATCTGGCTCCTGTAGGTCAAGGAGATGGCAGAAAGTTTAAGAGATTTTTAGACTTGATGTTCCTACAGGTCACTTTCAAATCTGTTTGTGACTGGTTTTTAGGGTTAATCAATTAAGTGTTGTTAGTTAATTACTTACCTGCATGGGATACTTACCTAGAACAACACTGAATTTCAGATTTCAGCCACAGAGGACCCTCCTAGCAGGTGTCAGTGATAGCTCCTGCCCAACGTACTGCTGCTGCACATATGGGTTGAACCCATCCAACGCTTTGCAGCTCTGTGCTCCATGCTGTTGCTGTGTAATTAGCTGAGAGATAATATTTTGCGTCCCTCTAATTCTGATTTGCATAATAGAAACCCTAATTCTCCACTTGGAAGAGGAATGAGGAAATTCCGTCTGCTGCCATTTTCACATTTGATACTTCTATTGAAGTAGTTCCTGTTAAGTGTGAAAATCTCAAAATCTCATTAACCTTCAGAAGAAATAAAATAAAACATATTAAAATACAAATGCATATGACTGCATTCCTCTTGTTATGTGCTTTCCACTGCTGCCTCTCACTTAGCTCCCACAGGGACATTAATTGATTCAATCACTGTGTTCCCTAACAAAAATGAAATGTCCCCAGGTATTACTGTTCCTTTGGCCTCTCTCCATTACAGCCTCTTTCCAAGGCCAGCTAAAACCCATCTCACAAGGAAGTGCCTAAAAATACACATATAAGATCCTTGCTGCCAAAGAAGTAGGGCCTAGGTGTGGAATTGTGAAAAGTCAGAGAGAAAAAAATGTTATGAACAACCTCCAAAACTAGAACCAATGTATAAGGAAAAGATAATTTACAGACACTTAACCAGAGTTTTAGACATACTGTGTTGTTTGAATTAAACTTAATTTGAACTTGTGCCAATTTTAGACTAGTAGACAGTGTCATGTCTATCTGTTGATTTCATATGAAATGTAAAATAATGCTAAAGAATCCTGGCTTGGACATGATAACATGACATTGGGTCTCTTAGAAAAAAGAGAAATGGTTTAATGACATTCCAACTGTCTAAAAAAAAACCATCAAAAATACATGTCTGACCTATAAATAAAGACATGTCAGAATAACCCAGCATTAATAAGGACATCATTATTTTCCACAGATGAATGTGGGCAGAGCAGGTTCTTTTCCTACTTGCATTTCTTATTTCCAAGAGGGAATCAAATAGGTACTGTTGAATCCCTCAGAATAATTTAATGTTATTTAGCTTTAAATGAGGATATTAATATAAGAGGGACATCAGCAACTCAATAGAAGGCAATCTGTGGAAGACTTAATACGTGTAAGGAAGACAGAACAGGCCGTGCTGGTGAGTGTATACTGTTGTGTGCTAAAGAGAGTTTAGAGGGAAAGTGGATTTAAAAGAAGCATAGAAAATGGTGGCAAGGATGATCCAAAGACTTCAAGAGACTAGAACTCTTCAGCCTAAAAAAGAGGTGTCTTCTGGAATATTACAGGTTTTAAAACTGGCATAAAGGATGTGAATAGGGAACAATTTTTCATTTGTTCCTAATAAAAGAAGAGAGCACCAAGCAAAGCTATTAGATGGTAGGTTCAAGATTAAGAAATGCGTGGATAAGCTGTAGAACTCACCGTGACAGGATGCTGTAGATGCCAAGAGTGCAAGTGGTTTCTAAGTGCTATTAAATATGTTCACAACCTCTCCCAAGGGGCGTTAAGTACCAATATACCAACTTTTTCTCAGGTAGACCCCACAAACTGTATGAGCATTCCAGGTGCATAACTGTATACTTGCCTTCTTCCTGTGCACTTTATCAAGGCATACACAATTATCCCTTACTGGACTCAGGTTATTTGACCTAGATTGTTCATATTTTTAATAGAAATAAGACCAAATTCAACACTACAGAATACGAAGATGGGAATACGTCACTTGGAAATGACTAATGGGACGGGATGCAGCTGTTATTGTACGTATCATGACAGAGGCAATAGTTTTGTTGCAGAGACAGATGTGTTAAATAACTGTACATAAACTTTCACTGGAAATTAGATTGTTCTAAGTATTAAAACGGTGTCATTCTGAATGGGTGTAGGACTTACTTTTAAAGTGAAGCTGACTAAGTTTGTCAACGTATTTAAATGGCAGTGCTATCTTTTTGGCTGATTACCAGGAGTCCCACATTCTGGAAGAGGAGGAAAAGCTCGAGGAAGAAACGCAGCAAACCCATTTAGAATTTCACCAGCAGCTAGTCACAGAAATTCAAGAAGCTCTTCAGTTTCTTCAGCAGCACATGGAGCAGGTGATTGGGCAGACACTGCTGCAGCATGCCCAACGGGAAGCTGGAAAAAAGAGTTCAGATGATGGAGAGGACTTCAAGGTATAGAAATGTTCAGTAGCAGTTTTCCAAACAAAATGAGTGCTACTTTGCTAAAATGGAACACAATTTCATTTATGCATTACCCTATGCCTAGAAGTATCAGCAGGAAACCATTAGAACCTGCGTCAAAACTGAAGATACCTTGCAAAGTATTTACAAGCTAACACTTATGTAGAAGTACAGTATTTTCTAGTGGCTTGCTATAGCAGCCAAAACAGGTTTTATTAAGGCAAACCCTGGAACATAAAAAAACTAGAGAGAGTTCTTGATGACAGAGAATAACAAAAATGAGGAAGAAATGGAGATGGTTATCTATTGATGAAGGTTTTATGGTTAATTAATAGTATTTGTATATTAACAGCTTAATATGAATTCATAGATAAATAATTAAACAAAAATAAAACTTGCTTCATAGGTTAATAAAATTGTTCCAAAGTAAATATTTGGATTTTCTGTGTAATGGAAAGTTGTAGTAGAGCTACACATATATTGATTTACTTTTCTGGCAGTCAGGTTGACAGGTAAAATGGGCTCTAGAGATTGAACAGATAGGGGAATGGCCCCTTCCCAGATGGAGGTGAGGCACATTAGAAAGATTTTACTGTAATTTTTCATGTTGAAATGTTCCATGGATGAATAGAAACACCTGTTTTTCAGCATCTCAGTCTACCACATTTTTAAAGCACAAAATTCACCATTTTGTGTGCACATACAAAATTAGATTGGGTCTTCAGTTTTAGACAGATCAAACCAGTTCAGTTTTTGACTTAGAAAATTAACTGTGACTTGTACTGTGTAATACAGGAGAGACTAGTGGAAGCTGCTGTAGAAAGTGTGTATGGGACCAGCAATAATATCAATAGACTGGTGCAAAACTACTATCAGCAATTAGGAAAAATCACAGAAGGCTATGAAGAGAAAAAGCTTCAACAATTGAAATCCTTACAAGGTATGTATGATATTGACAACTACAAGATAATTCTTGTTTTTTAACAGATAAATTGATTTTCTTATCACTGTAAAGATTGCTTTTAAAGGTAAGAGAAATCTGTTATTTAAAGTAAGCAACAAAGCAAAATGAATGTGTTAGTTCATTTCCATCTTTGAAGGAGAAGTGATATTATTAATAATTACTTGAATTACAGTCATAGATGCGGGACCCGGTTACTCTAAGTTTGGTACAGACACACACAGAATGATGACCCAGTGTTGGAGATTATAGTTTAACCACAAACTCTGGTTCACCAAGCTAAGATCAGAGATACCACCATAGTCAGAACCACCAGCAGCTGATTTTCTGGTGCTCTAAACCTCAACACAAGGCAGAAGAATTTAGAAAGCAAAGAGTTGTACAAGTATTAGGTTGTACAGCCAACGTATATCATAAACACTGTTCAACTTTGCCTATTAATATATGCAAATAAAATGAATCAATGAATCAAATATTCATAGGGAGAGGGAGGGTCTATGTGACAGGTGCCTACAAGCAGAATATTTTCCCTAGAAGGGAGGAGATCTGGGTTTGCGCTCCCTGCTCCCATGTTAGAAAACATAAACATCATTAGCAGACAGTCTGCTTTCTCTGAGGTGACTGCCCTCAGCTTTGGGGAGTAGATTCTTGTATTCATTCCTTTTTTTGGCTCAGTGAAATGTTGTTGTCTCTGAAGTTGAGGAAACACATTAGAGGAGACACCAAAAAGCCAAGCATGCCCATCCTGGAACACTCTGTGAGTTACTGCATTGTTTCTTAGCTGTCGACCATGACCCTCTCACAGGTTGTGAAACTGCTGAAGAGGTTTATGAACTGCTGGATCTCACATAAATACAGGCAGTGTCTCCTGGAATTATTTTTAATTGCTCAGTTCCTTCAGGACAGGAGAACAAAAGCAAGCTGTGATTATTGATTTCTTTTGTAAATGCTCTCCCCTCCACAGATGAAGGCTGTTGGTGTTAAATGAAGTTAGCAAGTTAGCAAAAGGGCAATAGCATCAGAGGCTGAGTATTTAAGACACATGGGATGGATTTTTTTTCTAAAAATAGAGTTAGCAATTTTAAATAGAAAAGATTCTTTAACCACAGAAGAGAATTTTTGAAGACGAACAGGCATATCCACTCAAGGCTGAGATCCAGAGATGAGTTGGTAGGAAGGATTTGTGATCCCCAGTAGTAGCTAGATATGCTCACATTAAGACAGAACCAGTCTGTTCTGCACTGCCCTCTTGTGAACCTTGAAAACTTTAATATTGAAAGCTGAAGTGCTAGGGTTAGGCAAAATCTCTACAGGGATTTTTGGTGATCTGTATTTTAGGCATTGTCAGCTAGCAAAGCAGTTGGCTACTTAAGTTCTCACAAAGACCTCTTTGGGCCTGATTCAGCCAACTACAGAGTCTAAAATCCCTTTGATTTGAGTTCCTTTGAGCAGGAATTAAAAATGAAGCCTGTTCCAGAACGCTTCTCTGATCTGAGCTGAGATGGATGTTATTAGAATTGTAGAATCATTCAGGTTGGAAAAGACCTTTAATATCATCGAGTCCAGCTGTTAACTTAACACTGCAAAGTCCACCACTAAACCATGCCCCTAAGTGCCTCATCTGCACATCTTTTAAATACCTCCAGGGATGGTGACTCAACCACTCCCCGGGGCAGCCTGTTCTAGTGCTACCCACTCCCCTGGCCAGCCTGTTCTAGTGCTTGACAACCCTTTCGGTGAAGAAATTTTTCCTAATATCCAATCTAAACCTCCCCTGGCACAACGTGAGGCCATTTCCTCTTGTCCTGTCTCTAGTTACTTGGGAGAAGAGACCAAACACCCACCTCACTACAGCCTCCTTTCGGGTAGTTGCAGAGAGCGATAAGGTCTCCCCTCAGCCTTCTTTATTCCAGACTAAACAACCCCAGTTCCCTCAGCCGCTCCTCATAAGACCTGTGCTCCAGACCCTTCACCAGCTTTGTTGCCCTTCTCTGGACACGCTCCAGCACCTCAATGTCTTTCTTGTATTGAGGGGCCCAAAACTGGACACAGTATTCCAGGTGCAGTCTCGCCGGTGCCAAGTATGGGGGATGATCACTTCCCTAGTCCTGCTGGCCACACTATTCCTGACACAAGCCAGGATGCTGTTGGCCACCTTAGCCACCTGGGCACACTGCTGGCTCATGTTCAGCCGGCTGTCAGCCAACACCCCCAAGTCCTTTTCTGCCAGGCAGCTTTCCAGCCACTCTTCCCCAAGCCTGTAGCATTGCATGGTGGTGTTGTGACCAAAGTGCAGGACCCGGCACTTGGCCTTGTTGAACCTCATACAGTTGGCCTCAGCCCATCGGTCCAGCCTGTCCAGATCCCTCTGTAGAGCCTTTCTACCCTCAAGTAGATCAACACTCCCACCCATCTTGGTGTCGTCTGCAAACTTACTGAGGATGCACTCAATCCCCTCATCCAGATCATTGATAAAGATATTAAACAGAACTAATACTGAGCCCTGGGAACACCACTTGCTGCCAGCTGCCAACTAGCTTTAAATCCATTCACCGCAACTCTCTGGGCCTGGCCAGTCCAGCCAATCATTACATACTTGAATGGTCTGCTTCATCAGTGTTTTGATATTGCTCTCACCTGGTCTCCGAATTAGGTTGTGAGACCTAGAATACCAGTCACTAGAACTAGTCAGCCTTCTGGTAATAGCTCATTTAGATTATTTTTTCTCCTAGAGTTTGTGTGGCTGTATTATTGTTTCAGTGTATTGGTGTTCCATGAACTACAAGGAAGAAAATTACATGTGTAAGCAGAGCACGTTTTCTTTTCAACTGAAGAAAAAGAAAATCCTTCTGCTGCAATGTAAGCCTACAGGCATGAGGGAGGATGAGAGTATTTAGGTTGGTAATAAAAGCAGGAGTGTTTTAGATTTGGGTGAGAGAGAAACCCAGCTGAAATTCACAGATCAAATGAACTGCTACAGTGAAAAAATATTGCAAACCTACATGCACATGCTGTAGCCCAGCTGAGATTTTCAGTATCAACAGATAACTACTTCAGCTTTGTTGGTGCTTTTTACATTAGGAGTGAGCACTACCATCTAATAAGGGACTTTGATGCTTTAGTACCCTTTAGTACACTGAAGTCCTTCTTTAACCTAAATCCAAACTTGTGATGCAGAACCCCATTCCTTTCTCATTTCAGCTGCTGTATTGGCCCCAGAAGCACTGAAATTTCTCTCTGTGATTCTTAACAGCGTGAAGCTCTCCTCTGGGGGCACAGCCAGGACACCCTAAGCCCTGCCAGCCAACCAAGTACTTTCCATCCAAGCTCAGCCAGGAGGCAGATGCCTCTTCCCTTTCAGAAGGGGCTGATCTGTTAGGTGATCTCTAAGCATGATTACCATACTGAGAGTGTGATCCTCCTCACCAAATACTCTCATAACTTCTCTCTCTAAAACACAAGATGGAAAAAACAGTGTTGGCAATAGAGCCACCTACTATGTGATAGCCCTGGGGTTAGAATGGCCACATAGGAAATTTCTTATGTACTTCATTCAGTGATAGCTAAGTGGAAGTAAGGGCCATAATGCTGAGCTTCTCTCTCCCAGGGGCTGTGCTTAATGTCAGGCTAGAGAATTTTGCTTCTTTGGGCATCCCTTGGCCCAGTGAATCTGAATCTATGGTCTGCTGGCATGGACACAGGAAAAAAGGTGGAGAGTACCTCCCCTCGCCCAGCCAACGCAGCCCAGCGTAGAATACAGCTGGTAACTGCTCCCCAGTGGTGCCATTGGTAGGAGAGGTGCCTGTCGGCCTCTCAGAGTGTTCAGAAAAGGTTGGATGCTCCCTAAATGAATTATGTACCCTAATCTGTTACGTACCCATCCATGTCCCTCCTCCTGTGTTTTATTTAAAAGCAGTGGTGCAAGGAAACTGGTCCTATCTGTCAGACATGCCCCAAGCCTTGCTGCCAGGCAGGACTTCAGGGGCAAGAGTCAGGAGCCTGGTCAGCAGATAAACACCAAGTTACTCGCAGAGTGTGAACGTACGCAAAAGTACCCAGAATATTTAACTGTCAAATGAGGGGATGCCTAGTGAAGTTAGGCATTGCCAGGACTAAGTGTCCTCTGAGCGGATGGTTTCTTTATATTGCATTTTTTGTTAAGGTGTTACAGTTCTTGCTTAAGGCATCAAGGTCTTTTCATGAAATTTCTGCTTTGAATTCCATGTTAATCAGCCTAGTGGGAGCGGTAGATAAGAATAGGAATTCAGTGACATTACCATCTCAGCTGAATGGTACACAAACTATTGTCTGTGCAAGAGATCACAGTGGCAGAGCAAGAGTGTGTAAGAAGTGCTTGATATCCCTAAGGAGAAGTAACTTTAGAAAGACTACCTAGAACAGGGATTAATTTGTGCTGATGCAAAGCATAAACTGTAAGGTTGCCACAACTCAGAGTTTGTAATTTTGAGCAGAAGATTTTACGAAAACATTATTTCAGCAGAAAGAGGTGAAAGGAACAGACTTAGGAAGAAACAAGAGAATGAACTGGCATTGGAAGAAAAACAGACCAAAGGTCTCCTGAACATGTCATCCACAGTCCATCAAAGGTAAGAGCAGGCAGCAGCATTGCTGACTATTTAAATGTTGTGGGTGTTTGCAGAGCTACTTAAATGTCTAGTGAATAAGTGATTTGGTGTTGCATTTTGTATTTGTCTTTGATGGAAAAGAAATACCTGTTGCCAAATTATGTCTACCCTTTGATCTCAGAGAATTACTTTCTTATTAAATAAATGTTTTGATGCTCATTAATTACAGACTGAAGAACTATACATAGACAGTTTGAAAAGAGAGAATGAAAAACAATGCCAAAACATATGCCAAATTTTAAAAGAAATTTAACATAAATGTAGGATGGGAACCAATGCTGTCTAATTCATTACGTTCCATCTTTTCTGCTTTGAACATCAAAAGTGTTTGTTTGCTCTTGAGTAAACATAACGAAGAGAAAATGTTTGAAGCATAAATAATACTCAAAATGGAAAGAAGATTTCAGTGAATGCCTTGGACAGTCAAGATTACTTGCACTAAATTTAGAGTGGTATCCCTCAAATGTTAATTAAATGTCATATTTAATTCATTACTGATTTTATGAAACTTAGAGTCCAGACAAAAAGCACTGCAATGCCAAAGGAATAAGTTGTCATAAAAAGCTGTATGATTTGGCATGCACATGGTACATTTTTGTAATCATTTTGTTTCTTTACTTTTGGTTTATTATCCAGAACACACAGCATCTGCAATTTTGACATTTTAAAGACGTTAATTCTTTTTTTAGACATTCTGTTATTTCTAAATTGGAAGAAATCATTGCCCACTTTCTGGTTTTCATCCTTGTTGGAATTAGTATAGAAGTGGATTCATGTAACAAAGAGCTTCATAAAAGATCTGTTAGTTATTCACTATCAAGTTTATCGTTTATTCTGACATACAAATTCACTTCTAGCTGTTGTATCAGTTTTTTCTCCTATAATGTCTTCTACTGTCTTAAAACAAAATACAATCAAATTGGCCTTCATGCAAGCAGAAGTATGGTATTGAAGAATGTAACTATTGAGTACCTAAGCTGGTCTCATAATGACTAGTAATCAGACTTGTTTTCCTATTGTCATTATGATTTCTTTTACGGTCAAATCCAGTCCGGTGGAAATGAATGTCAAAATTTCCATTAATTTGTCCAACTCCTGTTAAACTCAACGTAGATTGTTTTATTGCCTTTTGCCCTTGGTGCAAGGTTGTGAGTGTGAGCTCAAAAAGCAAATTTTGAAAGCTAACCTTCTGTAAGCATTGACCATTACAATAGCAACTTCATTATGTGTAGATGTCAGAAACAATTTGTGTTATCTCCTTCCCTGAGAAATGCGATGGCTGATTGACAGCATTGGTTCAAGGTAGATCAGGCAAGAGAACAGAAGAAACACAAGTTCAGCAAAGTTGCAGCCATTCAGGTTCTACTGTATTAATATGAATATGAACCAGCAAAATAAAAAAAAATAAAACAAGTGAAGAATATAGTTGTCAGTCCTCCCAATTGCCAAGTTTTGAATTACCATGTTTCTGGCTCAGTCTCAACCTGGTACTGAAGAGCCCTGAATGAAATGCCTAATTCTTAATCCCTTATCCTCACACCTGATCTTCTAACAGCTTGTCTCTTTGGCAAGCAGGCAGTACAGCTGACTTTAGAAACATACAATGGTTCTGAAAGCAGACTTCAGCTGAGCTGAACTCCAGCTCCCAAGGTCCAGGCATCATGGACAACCCAAACTCCTGCTGCAATTCCTGCCTCTGAAAGGAGCTTGTATCCCATGAAGAGCCAAGGCAGGTTATTAAAATAAGTAAATCTAAAAATCTACTGCAAATTTTTTGTGCCGGCAGAAGCTGGATGGGCCAGCACTGTTCATGAGCCTTTCTCTCTACAAAATCTTTTAAATACACTTTGCCAGGATTGTATTTCTCCCTTGAATTGAACAACATCGGTACTTTTAAATTTCTCTTGACCAGGATGGTGCTGCAGCAAAAGAAGGTTTTGGCTCAGTTTGAACTGCAGCAGCAATTTCGTCTGGAGTCTCTGAAACAAAAGCTGCTGGGATTGCATCACCTAGAAACTGAGTTGGAAAAACAGCTAAAGGTAAATCAGGGTAAAATGACTCATGGATCTGAAGCAGTCCATGGCAAAACATCATACAGGTTGTAAGGGTCTCTTTGCTGTCCTAGCTGAAATCAGTGCTAAGATTCACCACTGTCTTGTAGGAAACACTTCCCTGATGCTAGCCATATTGTTTCCTGTGTTTCTGCAATGACATACGCCTTTCATGTCATGCCGCATGTAGAATAACATAACCCAGAATCAAGCTGTGTTGTGTTAACTGACTTCTGGTTTATCCTTGTGTGCAGGAAGCAGAGCAGGACTTTGTGAGCGAGTTGGTTGCACTGGCCCGTGTTCCAGTGGTTGTGAAGAAGAAGCCTTCCAAAAGGAGCAAGCCAGCAGGTTGGTACAATCCTGAATTGTTTAAAAAAACCCCATGACATTCCACATATCAGCACATGTTTTGCAGTGTAACACAATGAAGTTTCAGGAGAGGTTCTTCATCAGTGCCATTTCCCTAACTGGGACGTAGAAAAGTAAGGCAACCTTCCGAGGTCACCCAGCTCGCCAGTAGCACAGCCACAAATAAGTGTCACCATTCCTCACTCCAGAGCAGTCCTTTAGCCAATAGATCGCATCATGTCCACTGAGGTAAGGCTTTGCCTTGCTCAAACCAGAATTATTTTTCATGTCCTTATCATGTTCTTTAGAAATGATTCTGTTCACTTCAATCACTAAGTCTTTGGGAGGACAGCAGAGCTGAATCACCCAGCTTTCATTCTGCTGGTAGAATGGAAGAATCACCTTCCCACACAGATGCTCAAAAGTAAAATCTTACTGAATCAAGAAACTTGAAATATTTATATGATTTACTGCTGTTTTAACAAATTAGACTAATTCAAGTGATACTTAGGGACAAATTGTCAGAATAGCAGTTGTGTTTCCTGATCCACAATCGGAGTGGAGCATGCAGATTCTCATCCTTTGAGCCATGTGATCCTTCTGTCATTATCAGAATGAAACACTGGGCATTATATTTGAAAGATGCTGAAAGGTGCCAAAAAGGGAAAAGCAGCTCACTCACCTAGACAGTTTTGAAGTCTCTCTCCCAGAAAGTTGTTTCTCAAGCGTTTGCCCTGGTAGGCACTGTGACCCCAGGGACACTTATGGAGGCTTAGCTCAGGGCCCTAAAAACAGTGACTTTTTAACATCAGATTGTTCTGATTCAAATCACATAATTTTATGAATTGGCTTTTCTTCTGTTTGCTGGTAGTAGAAAGCCATTTTCAGTTACTTGCTAAGAAAATACATGATGGGGCTTTCAACTGTTGTACCTCACATAAACTTACTTCAGTGTTGAGCAGTTATGAAAGTTCAACATCTGCTGTGGGAGAACTAACTGATAGTAAAAAAATCAATATTCTAGACTAATGTGAAGTGGAATGATTTCCTTGGAATAATAACACATATGTATGAAGTGTTAGAGTGTATTTTTTTGCTTTAGGTTAATCAAAACCCAGCAAGCTCTACTAGCTGTGATGATTGGTTTTTGTTTTTTTTTTTAATCCACATGTATTTGGCAATTCAGGGGAAAAAACAAACTCAAAAAGGAAGACCTTTCAGTCACCAGAATCAGAAGACAAAGATAATTCTTGTGAAAATATTCAAGAGCCCCCTGGACTGACTTCTGGCTTATGCAGGTACAGTAGAGGCTAAAAAAAAGTGAGCACCTGAAAAACTATTTATAAAAAGCAGTACAAAATCTACTTCATAAGCAGGTATGTCAATCACACCCAAAATATAACACCTAGACTAGCTGAGCTTCTTCCTTAATACTTACTTCTCACGTGTATTTGACCTTTTTTTCCCCATATTCTTTTTTTAAATTTAGGAAAATCATCTGAGTTTGCTTGTCTGTGCTGTTATCTATTTTATAAATAACTTTGATTTTTTGGTAGAGAAATAAGCAATACTGTTTCCAAATTTCCTTTAATTAGGTTTTTTATAACCTGAGTCACAGACAGCATAAATCAGCAGAGACAAGTGAATCCAATGGAACTAGGCTGACATGTAGCAACCAAAATATGGCCTGTGGTATTTAGGCTTTCAACTTCCACCTTTATTTCAGGAACAAAGGCAAGCGCCAGTCTTTGGCTGATGAGGGTAGCAGCTCTAACAATGATTTTCTTGATAGATGTTTCAGTTGGCTTATGCTGGGGTGCTAACTAGAGGAGAAGAAATGGCTACAAACCTGAAAGATGCCAGCTGATTACTACGGGCAGATCAAACCAGCCAGCTGGTTTCTGGGGCTTGATATATTGAGCAGAGAAAATCCTGTTGACAGGCAAAGCAAACAGTTGGTTCTCAGGAGCCGCAGGCCTTTGGGGAAAAGTATTTATCCCCTGAGTGACCTCAGCCTGGGACTGACTTCAGGAGATGGCTCCTTTCCCTGATGGCATCAACCCTTTTCACACACTCCTTTCCCACAGCC